ACCATGCCTAGCTCTAAACTTCTATTTTTTACATTTTTCAGACAATTGACAATTTTTACCCAAAATAGTGATTTTTCTGTGTTTATGTATGATACTGGAGATGGAAGCTAGGACCTCCTCACACATGCTAGGCAAGCACTCTACCACTGAATTACACTCACAGCTAAGACAATTCTCCTCCTTCTCTCTTTTGGGAGATGGGATCTCACTCTGCAGCCCCACCTAGCCTTAAACTCACAAACTCAGAGAAATTCTCCTGCCTCAGTCTCCCTAGTACTGGGAGCAGGTGGGAACCATCATGCCTGGCTAGCAAGCAACTTCTTAGAGTGGAAAAGTTGAACAGTGGCTTCCAATGCCTGAGGGAAGACAGAATGGGATTTATTGCTCAATGGGCACAGAGTTTGAGTTGTGGAATATAAAAAGAATTGTAGAGATGAATTGTTCTGAGGGTTGCACAACAATATTAATCAAATGTCACTGACGATACACTTAAAAAGAGTTAGGATTATGAATTTTATGTTATGTGTATTTTAGTACAATTTTTTTAAAATTGAATATTTTTCTCCTAGTCTTGAATGTTTTCTGAGTGTTGAGAAATGTACTCTACTTTTCCCTCTGACATTCTGATGTCCTTCATCCTTTTATTGAACAGTATATGTACCATGAGTCTAATCATTATAAATACACAATTCAATGATTTTTAGTAAATTTATGGAGTTGTCAACCATCACATAACCTAGGTGTAGAGCATTTGCATCATTCAGAATGGTCCTCTGCACCTCCTGGCAATCAGTGGGGGTTGCTCCTACCCTGTAGCCCCTGAACTGTCTTCTGTCTTTGTGGACTTTCCTGATTATGTTATATAAATGCACTCACATAATATATCACCTTTTGCATTTGGCTTCTTTCAAGTAGTAGTATGTTTTGAGTAGGGTTTTTCCCATGAATAAATTTTTCTGTAAACCTTTTAAATCAATTTCCAAGGTCCTGAAATGGCTGTTTTTAATAATTTTGATCAGTTTTTTTTTGGGGGGGGGGAGACTTCATGGTGACTTCATTAAATTACTATGCTAGCAGTCTCAGAAATTCTTTTTATTTATTTTTTAATTTGGAAGATGAAAGAGTCTAGGTAAAATCCAACAAATCCACTTTATTTTAGTTATGTATTTTTGAGACAGTGTCTCATTATATAGCCCTTACTGACTTGGAACATGCTATGTGGTCCAAGCTGGCCTTGAACTCATAGAAATCCCTCTGCCTCTGCCTCTCAAGTGCTAAATTATAGGCATGCAACATAACACCTTACAATAAATATACTTCTTCGTTAGTTTATTAATTAGAAAAAAATTTTTTGAGACAGGGTCTCATTATACAGCTTTAATTGGCCTGGAACTTGTTATGTAGACCAGTCTAGCCTTGGACTCAAAGAAATCCACCTGTCTCTGTCTCTCAAGTGCTAGATTACAGGCATGCAATGCCACACCTGATAAATCCACTTTTGTAATTATATTTATATTGTGTTGGTTCTGTTCCTCTGGAAACCCCTGTCTAATGCACTGAGCAAGGATGTTTAATGCCACCACCCAGAAACACCCCCAAACCAAAAGGTGTGCTGCCTTTCTCCTAATCACCAGGAAAAAAAAATACAATTCCAAGTCATAGACCATATATATTCCAGAGAAGGCAGTGCTCAATTCAATTCCTAACTCATAACAGATACTCCATAAATCCTGTTGGAGTGAAATGATGGTAGTGTTTGTGGGCAGTAATGGAGAAGTTCTGTTTTCTCTTTCCTAAAACTAGTTTGTTTTTTGAGACAGGGTCTTGGCTGACCTGGAACTTACTATGTAGACTATGTGGCCTCGATTTCACAGAGATCTATCTGCCTCTTCTTCCCAAGTGCTGAGATTAAAGGTATGTGCCACCATGCCCAGCTTAAACTAGAGGTTCTATTCTGTGTGCTGAACAGAAACAAAGAAACAAACAGTTTTTTTTTTCTATTAATGCTTGGGGAAATAATTCACTCAGTCTTTCAGAGATGAAAATTTTTTATAAACAACAGCAATTTCTTCCTCATACCTTAGTTGAGAAGAAGCCTAGAGACAAAGTCAATGGGCATTGCTGGATGTGATGGTGCACACACATAATCTCAGCACCCAGGAGGCTGGTGCAGGAAGACCAGAGTTCAAGGCTAGAGCTGGGGTTGCTGGCACAGACCTGTAGACTCAGGGACTTGGGAGGCTGAGGCAAAAGAATTGCAAGTTCAAAGTTAGCCTGAGCAACTTAATGAGACTGTCTCAAAACAAATAGAAGGAGCTAGGATATGAGTAGAGTGCTTGCCTAGTATGTGCCAGACTCAATCCTGAATATGGCAAAAATATAGAGAGGGAGATATCAAAGCCAGCCTGTGCTACATAGTGAGATCAAACAAAGAAATAATGCAACCCCCAATGCCTAACCCTTGCAATAGCTATTCCAGGGTTACCTTGAAAACTTTACAGTTGCTGAAGGCAAGCCTTCTCTCAGTTCAAGGCCCACAGAGATCTAAAACCTTCACTCAACACCTAAATTAAGACCAGTGTAAAGGTGACCAAAAACAAGGTTCAGCTGTGCACCCTTCCTTGACTCTTTTTGTCAACGGAAAAACAGAATGCCATCAGTCATTCAGCTGAAGTTCTGAGATGAACCAAATATAACAGGTAAGGTCAATACTACTAAATATCTAAAACCAGAAGTTATTGCATGAACATTCAAAATTAAAGATGACTTTTCACAGCAAACCAGTTTTTTTTTTTTTGATTGTCCATTTTTTGGAAGAGGATTTTACTATGTGGCTACAGCTGGTCTAGAGCTTGCTATGTAGACTGTCCTGGTTTGCTTCTTCATTGCTGTGACAAAACACTCTGACCACTACCAACTTGGGGAGGAAAGGGTTTATTCAGCTTACATCTCCCAGGTCACAGTTCATTAGGGAGCCCAAGGTAGGAACTCAGGGCAAGGAACCTGGAAGCAGGAGCTGGAGCACAGGCCATGGAGGAACACTACTTACTGGCTTTTTTCCCTGGCCCCTGCTCAGCCTGCTTTCTTATGCAACACAGGCCCACCTGCCCAGGGGTGGCACCACCCACAGTGGGCTGGGCCCTCCCACATCACTCATCAAGAAGATGCCCTTCAGCCATGGCCACAGGCCAGTCCAATAGACGAAATTCCTCTATTGAGGCTCCCTCAACCCAGGTGTGTCAAGTTGACACTAAAGACACTAAAGCCATCCAGCACAAGAATAAAATCATCAATGAGAAATAATTGTCTTAATAACTTTTTATATAGACTTAAGACTGTCTGGGAAGTGTAATCCCTTGAACTCTTAGCTATCCAGCACATAGACCATCCCTGCTGGCTTCAACCTCTCAAGAAGCTGCCTGCCTCTGCTTTTCGAGTGCCTTTAATGGTGTTTGCAATTACACCCGGCTATATGCTCATTTTAAAATCTTTTTTTAGATTGCTTTTTTTTAATTACTCATATGTGGAAGGAGGGTGGTGTGTGCATGTGAGTGCTGGTGCTGTACAGGCACATGGGTTCTGGGAACCAAATTCCGGTGCTCTGCAAGAGCAGTATGTGCTCTCTAACCCCCTACACCCCAAATTTTTAAATAACAGACCCTAGTCAAGAAGCTTACTTTAAGACACACTGTGATGTGTTAAATGATAATAATAACAACAACAGCAACTTGCTCTGATTTCATAGGTCTTAATTTAGTTATTGGGGATAAAATGTCCAATATCTGGTATTCCTGGGAGTATTTACTCCTTTAGCTTATTGTTGGTGTTTGGACTGTTAAAAATAATCAAATGAAACCGGGTGTGGTGCGCATGCCTTTAATCTCAGCACTCGGGAGGCAGAGGCAGACAGATCTCTGTGAGTTCAAGGCCAGCCTGTTCTACATAGTGAGTTCCAGGACAGCTGGGGCTACAGGGAGACCCTGTCTCAAAAAGACTGAAAGAAAAAAAAAAATCAAATGAAACCATAATGTGGTAAAGACCTTTTGGCCTATAATCAGAGGCTTTATTTTCATAAACATGTAAGAATCAAAGATGAAAATAATATCTGTGCTCTTTTAATGCTAGCTGTCTTTAACACCTTTTCTTTAGAGGGCATATTATCAATTTTCTCTTTTTCTAAGCTTTACTAAGAAGGATGTGTAAATAACGAATTTGTTTTATGTATCTGCAGTTCAGTTTCCCTGCTGCCTATCTGCTCCCTAATTCGTAGTTGACTTGTTTGTGCCTTTTACCTGTCTTCAGGGAATACGAATGATTTTGATAGTGTTCTGATCCCGTTCATTTTTAAGTTCTGCGAAATCCGGTGGCATATTGTTCTATTTACCAGAAGGTCTGAAAAACAACATTACAGGGGTTGGAAAGATGGCTCAGTGTGAAGAATGCTTGCTGCTCTTGCAGAGAACTAGAGTTCAATTCCCAGTGGCTCACAACTTCCTCTAGCTACAGGTCTAGGGATATTTGATGTCCTCTTCTATGGGCGCCGGTACACACTTGCAGACATACATATAAATCAAATAAAATATATTAAAAAATAATGTTGGAAAAGCTTGGGAAATCCAAACGGAGTTTTGGTAAATAATTTTCAGGATGTTTCCACCTAATCACAACTGGAGTTAACTTTCCAATACAAAATAAGTGCAAAGAAGAGGGGAGATAGACTTTGAAAAGAATGAATTAAATTTCAGAGAGGTTTTTGTTGTTGGTTGGTTTTTTGTTTGTTTGTTTGTTTGTTTGTTTCCTGTCCTGGGGCTAGTCTTTCCCGCAATCTCATTACCAATCGCGGCCTAGCGGCTCAGACGAGAACTACGAATCCCAGAAGACCCTTCAACACATTTTTTTTTGGTCTCGGGAGATTTTCGCAGGCTGATCTCAACCAATCCCTTCACGGAGAGTCTGTGCCATCAGCCAATCAGAAGGCGAGAGGACGGCGAGCGGCGGGCGGGCCTGGGTTTAAACTCGGAAGTGCGCGCTGTTGTGGAGCGGTGCCTGGCTGGTGTTGGTGGGCGCGTATCTGCTCTTGGGAAGGTGGCGGCGTCTGGCCTGCGGGCTGTGGTGAGGGGGCCAAACCCGCCTGTGGCGGTAGGGGAAAGTAGGCGTGGGTCTGTCGGGGAGTCCCGCGGCGTCTGAACGAGTCTTGGGTGTCGGGTGCGGGGTTCCAGAGTCCCGGAGCCCCCGAGGTCCTAGTCCTGCTGAGAGCACGGTGTCGGCGGGTCTCTCAGTCATGGGTACCAGCTCCTGTGCGCTTAGTTACCCCTCGCTGCACTTTAACCTCAGTTCAGCCCCAGTGGCTTGAGGTACCCTGGTATGGCTAGAAGTAGCCGTCGCTGTCGGACTGGTGGTAGTGGTGGCTTTTTTTTTACTTGTTTTCATTTTGGGCAAGGTCTCCTAGGCGGGCCACGAACTCGCCATGCAGTTGAGGATGACCTTTAATTCCTCTTCTTTTTCCTCCTCTATTTGCCGTCATACTGGCTAAATTGCTGACCATTGTGTACTCGGTAGACTATGTGCCTTATTTGGTTTCAGTAAGTTTATTATTATTATTATTATTATTTTCCAGAGCTGAGGACCGAACCCAGGGCCTTGCTAGGCAAGCGCTCTACCACTGAGCTAAATCCCCAACCCCTGGTTTCAATAACTTTAAAATACAGTATGTGTTCTGTCTTACAGCATCTTACACAATGGTAGAAGAGGAGCTGGCGCTCTTGGATAAAAACATAAATGACTTTGGAAATAGGTTCAGAAACAATCTCGGTAACCCCGGTCAGCTGCTGGCACTAAGAGATGCCTACAGGGACGCCATTAAAGCACTCTCAGGTACCTAAGGTTAACCTGTACCTCTTTTTTTGGCTGTCCTTATTTACTTTCTACTGTTATTTCAGTAGAATTGAAATTTCATTTTCTCTTTCAGAAAGGCTGTCTTTGAAATTAAAGGAAGAAGAAAGAATGGTTGAGATGTTTCTGGAATACCAAAATCGTATGTATTAAGTCTTACCTGTGTGAGGTTTGTATACACTCATTTGTAAAGGCCAACATTTTTTTTAAAAACAAGTTTGTTTTCACATTGGAAATCAAAGCCAGGGAACCAGGAGTTTCTCATCAGTTTGGGGTCTGATTACTGTTCTGATAGTCTTTCCATATTTTTAACCACCAGTCTTCTCATTTCTAGAACTCTCAAGATTGTTCAATAGTAGATCAGTATCTTTTATTAAATACTCACACAAACTTGTGACCAAAGTCTCCTAGGTGTTTGGTTTGGGGACACCATGTTTTAAACAGTATTAAATTGTCTGCACATGTTCTTAGCTGAGTTCCCCTTTTGCCTTCACTTGCCCATTCTCCTCACTTTGGCCTGTGAGGCACTTGTATTCCTTTTCCAAGCTGCTCCTAAGTGTCTCTGTTCTTCACTGCTTCTCTCCCCTCTGTGCGTATAAGCAACAAGGAAAATATTTGATGTGAGTATGTATGTGAGAGTAATGAGTTTGGAACCTTTAAACACTCTTGGTTTGTAGAGTCCAGGAAGGATTAGAAAACTAACTGAAACATTCAGTTTTAAATATCTATAATATGAAAATGTGCCATACTTGAAATTCTAAAAGCATTATTTTTCTATTTCACAATGTGCTGTATTTTAAAATCTAAAATATTATTTTACCTTTAAAAAATAAATTTAGCTGGGGATATAGCTCAGTGATAGAGTGCCTGTCTAGCATGAAGAGCCCTGCGGTTCCATCCCCAGCACCACACACACACACACACACACACACACACACACACACACTTGAACTAATAATAATTTACCTGGGATTGATGGATATTTGATTGCTCTTGCCCTGGACTAAGGAGACAGTGCATAAGCTATAATATCCTTATAAATTAGGAGTGTGTAAACAGGGAAACCATAATTAAAATATATTGTAATAGTTGTCATAATAATGGGGATAGGTTCTGTGTGGGTATAGACTCTGAAGGGCTTGATTCGGTGAAAGTTTCAGAATACCCCATGGTCTTGTCTATTTGCATATTTTGACTCATCAGTTCTCACAATAACTAAGAGGCATAGGTTCTCTTTGGGTTTTGTTTGTTTGGGGAGGTTTTGCTATGTAGCCCAGAGTGGCCCCAAATGTACTACCCTCCTGCTTCAGGTGTTCACCTACCACACCCAACTTGATAATGTTTTTAATCCCACTTTATAGATGAAGAGTTAGTCACAGAGATGTTAAATAACTTCCTCAGTGAATAGAAACATGATTTGAATCTGTGTAGTTCAGTTATATATACTGCCCTGGTTAGATCACATAGAGGAGAGTTAGGGAAGTTTATCACATTCTAGGCAGAGTGAGCATGTTGAATGTTGGAGAAGCTTGAGAACATTTTGGTTGTAGGATGGCCAGAATACAATATGGTTATGGGTGGGGAATGGCAGAGAAGATAAGAGTTTACAGCTACAAAGGAGTTTAGGTGTTGTATTTCAAAACAGAAGGAATTGCTGCTACTGGATTTTAACCTAGAAAGTGATACTGAAATTGAACTTCAGAGAAAAAGCACGCTGGTAGGTAGTGAGATGGTAGGCCAGCAATAGACCTACTGACAGAGAAGGCTAGCATAGTAGTTCAGGCAGACGGAAGATGGCTTGAATCAATGACAGGTCTGAGGAGGTGGGCTCATCCATGACTGCTGTTCCTAAGTAAGAGTGTGGGCTAGGATGATAGCTGTCTTAACTTAGGCACAGATTAATGGTAATGCATTTCCTTTGTGAGGGATTAGAGCAGGGAGAGTATGTTTTTAGGAGTGGCAAGGAAATGGGTTCAGCTTTAAATGTGCAGAATAAATACGCTGAGGTTATGCTGTGAGTCTTACATGTACAGATGTCTGGTAGATAATGGATAGATGACGCCATAAAGCCAGGAAAGTGACCTTGGGCATTTTTAGTGTATTTAGGAGGATTGAAACTGAAGGAATGTGTTCTGAAGAATGGAAAGATAGCCTGGGATAGTATTTAATATTTCTTGCATCATTGGCAGTGTGTCAGGTACTGTGGAATGCTCTGTGTGCACCAGTGCTTCACTCTTGGCACTTCTTCCAGGTAGGTCGGGAGTAGCAGTAGTCTTATGTTACTGATGAGACCATCAGACCGACTTCATTCACAGCATTACATTGCCTCTTTAACTTGAGAGGGATGTGAGTGGAAACGATCAGGAAAGGGATTTGGGGAGTAACAACAAGAGTGACTGAGATAGTGGTTTGGAATTAGGAAAGGATGAAGGGAAGTATTCACTCACGAAGTGTTTGTTGAATCTACTACTCTGGTGTAAGTAGATAAGCAGAGAACTAAATGGCCTACCTAGAAGGAATCTCTATACCATCTAGTTTCCACATGCAGGGGGGCCACGTATGGAAAATGAGAGGAGTGTGCTTGTAAGTATAGGCTCTAAACAACAGGAAAGCTTTCAGATTTCATCTAAAAATTAGTAAAAGTCAAATAATTTTAAAAAATCAATTAAGCACAATTGGGTGTGGTGTCACATGCCTAGAGTACTAGCTCCTTAGAAGACTGAGGCACGGGGTTCACTTTAGTCTGTATGAGAGCAACTTGGGCAAGAAAGCAACACCCCCCCCACCAAAAAAAAAAAGCACATTGTTATGATTTTGCTACTGTGGCCTCAGTCTGTTCCCTCCTCCCACATATTAGTGTTCTTAGGGTTTTAGTGTAGCCTCACTATTTAGCCTCCTGATAGACATTTTCTGGACCACTGTCTCTGGACACTGGTTCTCAAATAGAACAGTTGTGTTTGTTTTCTAGCTTGTAGTGTTAGAGTGGCCCTGCCAATGTTAATTAGCTTTTTCAGAAGTGAGGTCTAGCCAGATTTTGTTGTTATTTTTATTTTGAGCATGTATTTAAGGGATGTGTTTATTTGCAGAAGCTGAGTGTTTCAGGGGGCTTGGAGGACTAACAGGGTTAGTGATGTGGACACAAGGAAGTCAGAAGTCAGAAGGATGGAGGGATTAAAGCCAACAGGAAGAACTGAAGTACTGATCACTCTGAAATAGCTATAAATAACCACAATTTGTATAGTTAGAAATAGCATGAGGTAGAAGCAGGTGGATCTCTGTGAAATCAAGATCAACCTGGTCTACATGGTGAGTTCCAGGCCAGCAGGGGCTGCAGAGAGACCCTGTCTCAAAAAGACCAAAACAAAAAATATTATAAGATTTGAAAGGTTTTTGTTTTGTTTCTATCATTAAAGAAAAAAAAGACATTCTACACATGTAGTTTAAGAAATAGAAGCAGAGCAGGCACAGAGGCACACCTGTACTTCCAGCTAGTTGGAAGGCTGTGACAGGTGCATCAGTGTTCAAGGCCAGCCTGAGCAACTCAGTGAGACCCTGTTGCAAGATAAAAAGAAATCTTATCCCAATTATTCAGCCCTAAACACATGTATACACAAGCACCATTAAATAGACTCAGTAGGTTTTGTGTGTGTGCGTGTGTATGTGTAGTACATATGTATGTATATATATAATAATAATTAACAAGAGATCATGAAATTGAGGGGTAGTGAGGGGTATAAGAAGAGTTGAAGAGGGAGGGGTGGAAATTATGTAAATTCAGTACTTGTGTATGAAATTCTCAAAAAATAAAGACTAGGAGAACCAGTTCAAATAAGAAAAAGTACTAGGGGTCTAGCTTGGTGGTCTAGTGTTACTTAGCATATGGGAGGGCCTGGGTTTCATCCCCACTGCCTAACAAAATCAGTGTGAAGAGTGAGTACTGAATTTATATATAGCATGTTTCCTTAGTGCCTGTTCGTGTGATAGATTTTCCCAATATTATAACTTCATTGTGTATCTAGCCATATTTGCTTTTAGTGAATTTTTAACATGTTAGGTTTTTTTAAATTTTGTCTTAGGGGCTCATGTAGTACAGGTTGCCCTCAAATTTTCTCTATAGCAGAGAATGACCAGATTTCTCTGCCTCTACCTCCTAAATGCTGAGCTTATACTACATCCAGTTTATGGGGTGCCAGTGATGGAACACAAGGCTTCCTGCATGGAAAGCAATTGCTCTGCCAAGTCCCCTAGATTAATTTATTAAGCTTTTTGACACTGATAGTTTTTACATATATTTTAGTTGTTGGTTTTGGTTTTGTTGGTGGGGTGTGTGTGTGTGTGTGTGTGCGCGCGCGTGTGTGTGTGCGTACATACATATGCACATGTGCCATGATGCATGTTGCAGGTCAGGTCTCTCTTGCAACACCTGGGCACAAACGCAGGTCAGCAGCCTTGACAGCAAGCACCTTTATTCACTAAGATATCTCATCAGCCTTATCACCTATATATATATTTTTAAATATTTTATTTATTATTTTTATTTTATGTGTATGAGTGTATTGCCTGCATGTATGTGAGTCCACCCTTGTCATGCAATGATGCGGAGGTCAGAAGAGGGTGTTGGATTCCCCTGGAACTGGAGTTAAAGACAGTTGATAGCTGCCATGTGGGTGCTGGGAATCAAACCTGGGTACTCTGCAAGAGCAGTCAGTACTCTTAACCACTGAGCCATCTCTCCAGCCCCATCACCTCTAGTTTTTTAATGAAATTAGTTTATATGATTTTAAGTAGAGACATAGTGCTATCTTTACTGAGTTTCATTGCAGAATTGTGCTAAATCTGTAATTGCCTGTTTTTTGACCTATCTCGATTCCCTTCTGTTTTTTAGTACATTCCAAAGACGCTTACAAAGCATTAGAATTACCTGTTTCTTCAAGGTACTGTGAAAAGCCATCTTCTATAGTTTGGCTGTCTTCTTTGGTGGACTTTATTGATACACTTATTTGGAATAGGGAACAGCAGGGGTCATAATCATGATTTCTATTTTGTGATTTAATTTGTTACTCAATTTTAGAAGCATTTTTGTTTTCAAAGTTACTAAAGCAGGTTAAGAATGTTTTCTTTACCGCTTACGATTTTTGAATTATTAGACTATGTTTATCAGTCAGAACATTTTTTAGACTAGGGAGACAGGTAGAAGGATTGTAAGTTCAAGGAAAACCTTGGCTACTACTTAGTTTGAGGTCGGCCTGGGCTTACATAGGCTCTGTCTAAAATAAAAAACAAAAGAAAACAAAAAACTGCTTGTTTTTTGTTTTGTTTTGTTTTGTTTTTTAATTAGAAGAAGCATTTCATTACAACAGCATTAACCTATTCAATAACATTTTTCTGAGCTAGGGTACATCTCTTTCAAAATTGGCTGTACATTTTTAGGTTTACAGATGAATTATTACCCTTATATAATCTTTTACTCATTATAAACTCTATAAGACATAAAATTAAATGAGGTTCCAACGTTTAAAAAAGATCTCCACTTCGTTGTCAAAACACACAGTTTCATACAGAAAAATTCATTCCAAGGCAATTGACATTGAGACATTTTCACATACATTTCTAATCTCTATATACATGACTATCACTGGTCACAGTCGCCCACCTTCTGAGCTCCTCGGCATCTGAGCATGAATACAAACTCGTCAGATAGACAGCCTTCCTCTCCCACTAGAGCCTCCATACTCTGCCATCGTTGCCACTGTCCACTGTGCTGTCAGCACCCCCATCCATTCCCCCCTATCTGCCCTTCTGGTAAATCTAGTCAGCCAGAGGTCCCTGTTCCAGGAGGATCAGCTGTTCCTCCCTCAAATTAAGGTAAAGAATAAGAACAAATCATTCTGGAAGAATGCAAAGGAAAATAGCTTTAGATACTTAAGTGACAATTGAATTTATTCTTATAATTGTTTTAATAGCTTTTGTATAATCCTCATCACTATTATGAGACATAAAATGTAT